CTAAGCGGTTGACCAATCACAACAGAGCCGGCCAGCTAACCAATCAGAGCAGACTGGGCTCTGGTTTCAGACAGAGGGTGAAAAGAGGTGCTGCAGCACAGGCAGTGTGAGAAAAATAAAGAACTTTTTGAACATTAAAGCATGGAGACATGTCCCAGTAGAGACACTACATACTGATATACACCTGAACATCAGCAGGAGAGGACTCTTTAAAGTAGAGAGACTACATACTGATATACACCTGAACATCAGCAGGAGAGGACTCTTTAAAGTAGAGACACTACATACTGATATACACCTGAACATCAGCAGGAGAGGACTCTTNCCCCCAGAGAGTCTCCATGTCCACGTGCTGCCCAGACAGACGCTGCCCGGCTAATCATCAGACTACCCTCCAACCGCTCTCTGGCACACACACACACACACACACACACACACTTTCACACATACACTTGCACACACACACTTACACATACACTTACACATACATTTACACACGGTCCTCTCTAACACTGTGCTGAAATATACCAATATGGTCAGTGGATGAATGTAATTTACTCACTTATCGTACTTAATGTTTGAGGTACTTGTACTTTAACTACATTTTGGAAGCCAATATAATACTTTTACTCCATTACATTTATATGAGAGTTTATTAACATTGCATATTCAGATTACTAGCTAACACAAAGCTTTATTAGCCTATGTCAACATTTTGTTAGTAGATTAGCCTACCATGGTGTATGTTTGTGTATATGTATACAGTATATATATATATATATATATATACATATTTACTTTTTGTTTCTATTTGATTATGTTAATTGTTTTTAAACGTATATGCAATGGCTTGTTAACATGCTGCTGTGACAAAAATAATAATCATAAAGTATATCTAATCTAATTTAATAGATAAACATTGACATTGTAGGTTAGGCTTTTTCTGGCAGCCTTATACAATGTTATTCAAATCAGATCCACCTTTACCAGCTGTAATAGACGTATTAATGCATCAAAAAATCATAATCCAGTCATTTAATATACAGTATGATTCAGAATCGCCCGTTACACTTAACGAGTTTGGTACTTAAGTATGTTTTGAAGCCAATAATACTTCTGTACTTTTACTTAAGTAATACTCCGATCACATGACTTTATTAATTAAGTATCCCTACTATTATACGTACTTATTCCACCATACACACACTTTAAGCACTCAGTCTCCCTCTCTGTTTTCCACTTTCACACACTTACACACAAACACTCTTTCTCTCTTACACACACACGGCCAGTCTCCCTAAGCCCTCTTATTGGTTCAGGCAGAGGCGAGAGCAAACTTACACTGCGCTGTATGTTTGTGTATGTCATTCTGTCAGTATTACTGGTAGCTGTCCAATTGAGCGCTGTCAGGTTGAGGGAAGCCAGGCTCTTTAAGGACCATTATGAACCGTGTCAACAGGCTGCACAATTACAACACACACTGGGGCCAGAGAGGATGAATGAATGAAGCCGCGTGTCCGGGTTTATTACACAGGGCCGGCCAGGGGACTTTGGGGATGAGCTGGATAGCATGAATGACAAACAAAGCGGGCCCTGTCAAAGCTCTTATCCTGGCTCTCATGCTGCCTTGCTGAGGATTCAGCCTCTCAACCTCCAGTCCTGTTTGCCTGCTTGACTCTTTGTCTGTTTACAGCCCAGCTTCCTCTTTACTGCCTGGATTTTCTAGCTCTTGGCCTGACAACTGTAAAAAAAAAAAAAGGGGGAATCCACGGGAACACATTTGGGTATTCCCCCCCTGACCTCTGTTCTTTCAGCCAGATAGAAAACCCTTTTATTTATCTAGCATTAAGAGATCTGTCAGATTTGTTTAAAGAGGCAGAAAGAGAAGAGGAACAACCCACGTCAGAGCCTTGTCCTGTTAAATGGAGCATCACATTAAAATAATCTGGAAATCTCGACGATGGAGAGGAGTTTTTAAACTGGCAGGACAGATGTCACGATGAGAGACTGAATGAGGTGAAAGGGAGAAGTAGACGCCATGGTTCTAAAAACATTTATCATTGTTATTTAGCATATTTTGGCCCACTGCTCATCAACTCACTTAGCAGTTGCAGCAGCAGGCAGTGACACGCAGCTCATGGAGGCAATTAAGTATTTTTAAAGCCCTTAGTGTTGTTACAGTTCGTGTTGAAAATAGCACTGTCATGATATTAACTCCGTGAAATCTGAGGACAAAGGACATAATACACATATGAGTAGATGTAGCGTTACTTACATCTCCTGAGGATTTCCTTCCTATCAGAAAGTTATCAGAACCTTCTTTCAACTCAGAACTTGCTGAAGAATCGTCACGTTTTAAATTTTCTTCCGTATCAAAGTAATCCAGTAATATACTTGTCGGTACATGAATGGGTACATGCAAGCAGGAACTTCTTAAAGCAAGAACAGTACATAAGTAAAAGTTTGAGAGACTTGTACTTCTACACTGTGACTACTTTTAATTGAGTAAAGCAGAGTACTTCTTCCACCACTACATTGGATTGTAGTTGCAAAACTTAAGAGGTTATCCAGGGTGCAGTTAGGTCTATTTTGTCTGCTCAAGAGTTCACAGTGTCAACATTTGTAAACCCATGCAAGCAATGTTGGATCTGACTTTGATTTGGGAGTGCAGAAAGAAAAAAAATAATTGTTCAGCTTGAATAACAGAGTGAGGCAAGTTGTCTCACTTGTCAATCTGAGTGAAACCAGGATCTCACTTCAACACGTGTGAGATGATGCACTTAGCATTCCCTGCAATTATTGTCCCTCTCCACCCCTGCACATTCCTCCAGTCCATCAAGAGTACTTCTACAGAATGAATGTCAGCTGTTGAAATATATGTATGTATGTGTGTGTGTGTGTGGGGGGGGGTGTGTGTGTGTGTGTGTGTGTGTGTGTGTGTGTGTGTGTGTGTGTGTGTGTGTGTGTGTGTGTGTGTGTGTGTGTGTGTGTAGCATTTCCCTACGAATAATGGTCGTAGGCTTTACTTTACTGATGAATTATAATTTATTTGTAATAATTAATAATTAATTAATTGTAATAATTTGTAACGTGAGCTTGAGCCTCTTCGGGGGGTGCTAACATTTAAATATACGGTCCGTTCTTCTCTTTCTCCGCCGTTACATAGAAGATATTACTTTCTCCGTCACGTTGTTTCTAATGCCTCAACAACTTCCTGTCAGCCGCGTGAACTTNAACATTTAAATATACCGTCCATTCTTCTCTTTCTCCGCCATAGAAGATATTACTTTCTCCGTCACGTTGTTTCCAATGCCTCAACAACTTCCTGTCAGCCGCGTGAACTTGCCTTCAAAATAAAAGCATACAAATGAAACAGGAAGTTCACCTACATTACATTATAAGATATATATACAACTGCAACGAAAGCAACAAAAACAATGCAACATCCCCTTCAGTCTCAAATAACACAAATTGGGTTATCTACAGTGTGTGTGTGTGTGTGTGTGTGTGTGTGTGTGTGTGTGTGTGTGTGTGTGTGTGTGTGTGTGGTCAAGAGACAGAAAGAAGATCATATACATACCACCACCATGAGTGTAAAAATCCAGGCGGTTCCCCAAGTGTGATGTTCTTCTCCCATCGGATCTGAGTGGAAAAGAAGATTGAGAGGAGAAGACAGAGGAAGGATATGAGGGATTTGACATCGCTGCATGTTTTATGCATATTGTAATCTTTTCGCCCAACTGTCCTCCCAACTTTACACACACAGAGTGAGAGTTGGACAGAAAAAAATAGGCCAACTGGCAGCGCAGTGGATTGCAGTAGAGTTTGTGGATAAGACACTGGGACTGTATTGAAGCAGCGGCCCTCTCCACTGCCCTCACACACCAGCAGAGCTCCTGCATGAATCTGGACGGCGAGATAAGATGCAGTTTGAGATAGCAGTCCTTGTCCCTGCTTCACACACACACACACACCTGCTGACATGACTGCACACACACACATTCACATAGTTAAACCTACACGATTCACCCGGGTCTGTGAGGACAGCAGTAAGATTTGTCTTTGTTTTTCTAAATATTTATTTATATATGTGGAATATCAGATCCTAGCTTCATATTTCCATTTAAGTGTCTACTCTATAGATTTCCCCAGTGCAGTTTATAGTGATGTGATGTGCCGTATGTGGGCTGGGCCTGTTGATTTAATGTTGCTAAAGAGCTGAGTGCTGCACTGTGCAGGAGAGCATAGAGTGGCAAAGTCCTCCCGGGGAAAGGAGTGTGTTCTGGATATCCTATAAATATGAATGTGTGTGTGAGTGTTTGTTTGTTTGTGTGCTTCTCACTGAAGAGGAACAGAGGCTAATTGAGGAAAGTAAGTCCAGGTGATAGCGCTCTCATTAGATGAGCAGGTGTGTGTGTGTGTGTGTGTGTGTGTGTGTGTGTGTGTGTGTGTGTGTGTGTGTGTGTGTGTCTTCCCAGTCTACCTGCGAGGATAGAATTCCCTTATCTATTGAAACATAGCTGTGCGTTTTCCTGTATGTGTGTTTGTGTGAGAGGAAAAGACTACGAGGTACATAGGTGCTTAGCCTCAGAAATCTGAATGCATGGCAAAGAAAACATCATTATGTCTTAAACAACACATACATCGGGTTTAACGAATATAAGGCAAGCCAATTGAGAAACCCATCATAATTTTGACGGCGCAGCATATAAATAAACTCTCCGACGCTGCAAATCGCACCAAAGAAATGGAACTAAGTTTAAACTCTATTTACTTTAAATCTAAGAATTGATCGGCAACCATAATTGATTTCTGATAATCAATTTGACGTTTTTAGAATTTTAAAAATCAATAATGCTAAACCTTTTCTGCTTCTATGGTTTTGTAAGGATTTTATGTTTTTCTTTGTCTTTTATCATTCGTATTAGTAAACTGCATTTCTTATGATTTTAAATTTAAATTGGTATGGTATTTTAGAGACAAAATATTTGATCAATTAATCAAGATTGAATGGCAGATTAACCAAAAATGAAAATAATCACTATTTGCCGTAATGGACTGATTCCTAGCTTTTCCACACCAGAGCATTTAACCAACTCATTGAACAATTAACTTTAACACTTAATTCTGTTGTATTCTGTATGATTTTGTAGCATGTCTTTGTTGGTATATTTTCTTGAATCTATTTCTCAATTGGCTTGTGTTTTATCAGAGCAAGTGGAGGGTGTTCAGGTTTGTGTGTGTTTCCACCAAGATCTGGAGTGTGATGAATGACTGCTAACATGGATGAGTAAAACAAGTCTTGTTTCTTCAAATACTCGTGAGAAATCCCTCAACACTTTAAAGCCTACTGCTAGGACTGCATGAAGGGGGAAAGGTGAGAGGTCAAGCTGCTGTTTGCACGGATATGTTCCCATTACTGTCAGTCTAATCCAAATATACTGACTCTGACCATAAAAGACAACTAAACAGAAACAACGCTGAGGTTGAGATAAACAAAATTACTAGAGTAAGCCATACAGTGTTGCCGGCGCAGCATTTGAGACAACTGGCGTCAAATTGACTTAGCAGTCTGCGCATGCATGCCTCATTGCCTCGTGGCCATGGACTGTTTGTGTGTGTGTATGTTGTTTTAATCCCTGTCTGTGTAGATGTTGTCTTAATTCCTGTTTTAATGTGTGTTTATGTATGTGTGCCTCTGGTTGCCTGTGACCCAGCGCTTCACCCCTTCCCACTAATAACACTCAATCTCTGGATGAAGATTCAGCCACAAGGGCCCTGAAATGAGCGAGGCTTCGACCACTTGATCTCCCTCTGCTGCTCCCCCCCATTTTTGCTTCATATTTTAGTCGACCGCTCGTGGCTGTTGGCAACTGGGCCGGCCTCCAGTGGTCCTGCCCTCCCTGCTGCCAGCCTCCATGCTGCCAGCCTCCCTTCACAGTATAAGCTAACAAAACCAATTTCTGTCTGATTGATCCACCCACGTCCCAGCAAGCTATTATATTTTTTCATTGATTTTCTACTTTTTGATTTGATTTCTATTTTTTTTGTTTTTATCCAAAATACATCTTAGAGATGACGTAGAGATTTATAACAGGAAACACAAAAGAGGAAATTTCTTCTATTTGTAGAGACAGTTCTTTTTGGCCAGAAAATAATACTCAAAATAAATGGTTGCACGTAAAATCATTTTTATAATTATTATTATTATTGTTATTATTATAGGCTAACCTTACAGAAGCTCCAGCAACACTTGCAATACTGGTATTTATTTGATATTTAAATTAGAAAAATATGAAAGGAAATATAAAAATCAAATTACAGACAAAATAAATGTTTTTCAGATTCATGCAGGCACTAAAAATGAACCCAGAAAATTGTCCAGGACATCACCCAGATATAACTACAACTTGTTTTTTTTACAGTTTTTGTAGGAATGAAAGAAAAAACATATATTTTGGTAATAGTTAGCTAGAATAAAGGCAGGCTAGTTGTTTCCCGTGTGTCCACTCGTAATGCTAAGGCTGCTAGGTGTAGCTCTATATTTACTAAAAAATAAAGAAGTGGTATAAATGAGTTAGTTTGACTTTTGCCCTTTGGAGCAAAATGTTGAGCTGTTCCTTAAATCAAATAGGTATAACATTGTTTTAAAAAAAGACCGTTAGAGAAGTCTCAATTGTAAGACTTTCATTATTTAATCAAAGCTTGTTTTCTAGCTGAAATCAGAAAATGTAAGTATCTGTGATTCTGATCAGTGATCTGCTTGTTGTTTACTAGACTCTCTCTTCCATGTGAGCAGCATGCATGTGTGAGTTTAAACCGGTGTTACAGTATCTCTATACGTGAGTGACTCTACACTGAGCTCACCTGATGAAATGTCAGATAAACGCTGTCAGTATTAAATGATAGAGACCTGCCTTTGCTTGCTGTTAAAGCCCTCTCAGTGTGTTAAGTGGAGCTGAATAAAGCCAGTGTGCAGGAGAGGTGTTGTATAGGAGACGGTCTGAACATGGGACCATTAGCAGGAAGGATGTCCATTAAGGAAGAAGATGCAACACATTAGAGACCCTAACCTCTCCAACAGTTCAGGGGCCTGATATGAGACTAATAAGTCTGGCTTACCTGGGACACATGATCAAATATTAAAAAGGTACACTCGATTTACCTTCAGGGACTGGCTCCACTTATTAAATGTCATACAGAGCAACAGCACATGCCCACAATATGTCAAACTGCACTAATTATACAATGTTTATGATGACAAATTACATCTAATAATGAAGGGCTGGCAATCATAGTAAGTAACCAATGTCATGTTCACATTGTCCCAAATTAACAAACACTCAAAAGAACATTGCTGTAAAAAAACAAAACAGTCTTGGCTCCGTAATATTGTTACAGTTTTTAAGTGTCAAGAGCCTGGCTTTTAGTAATATTGCTCAACAGCTGCTTGTACACAGATCCATTTATAACAGGAATTCCAATCCTGGCAATACAATAGAGGGGGAACCCCATTCACGCTTTAGAGACAGGAAGTCATACTGAAAGAAAAGCTTACCTCTGACAGGAAGGTCTGTGCGGATTTCTGTGCGCCGACATGAAGCAAATACTCATACACATATAAAGCTAACCTGGAAAACAGAAAGAGAAAAAGAGAGAAATTAGTGTCAAGGATCCCAACTTTTACACTCATCATCTTCCTCAAAATAACAGCACTCATTTTGAAAACTCATGACCCACATTGAATTCAAAGGAACCCATCGACATAACTTCAACAAATGCGAACAATCGGCAGAAAATCATCAGTGTGTCATTTTAGATGAAGCCTGGATAAACAGGATTTCACAGAGCGAGGATCATATACGCTGTGGAGGGGTTGTAAACGTGTGATGTAGAGCTCTGCAGCTCTGAGCTAAAGAGCCTCGTGGCACTGAGCCATGTCCCTGTGGTTTGAGGAACCCTGCTGTTGGGGCTCGGAGGCCGAAAACAAGACGGCGTACACACTGACAGGAACTCGGACAGAGGAGAGGAAAAATATCCTCAGACGTGGTTGAAGTTCTCAGATGTCAACGCGCTGCTTGTTGGATTCCTGTCATTTGTAGGTGTCACACGCATGTTGATGTCTATCTATGGATCAGATATACGTTGCTGCATATAAGATTTATATTTTAAGTATGTTAATTATACCTCTTTTCAATAGTGGATGTTCAGACTTGGTTCAACTTGGGAATCTCCTAAGAACTAGTTTTCTTTTCCATTAACCAGAGCTTTTCGGGCTCGACGTCATGACGTCCCCGTTTATATTTCTCCTTTCCCAGCAACACCAATTTCCCTCATAGTAACAACAATGGCGACTACATTTGGGGCTCTGGTAATGCTGCTCTAACTCAAGCCAAATGTAATGCAGGCACGAGTTTTCTAACAACTTCACTCGTTGTTGTACTCGCCAGGAGCTGATGTTGTTCACGTAAATCCCGTCCAGGCCTCAGAAACTCTCGGTGATGGCTGGGCAAATAGTCGATGCCCACGTTGAACCAATATTCTGGACGAGAGCAGGCAACTGGAAACACCAAGATCAGGTTTCCGATTGGGCTCCTGCTTCGAACCGGCCCCATAATTGCCCAGGTAGAGGTGCATTTTTTTTCTTTTTCGGACAGAGCATATTAGCAGTTTGCAGCCGTTGTACTTAGCTAAGCTTATTGTCTTCTGGCTCCAACTGAAAATGTTAAAGTCCTACACATATGAGAGTAGGATCGGCTGCAACTGTCACCATGAAAGTGCTTATCCCAAGTGTTGGACTGGTATGTGAACTACTTCGAGAAATAAGAAAAAAAGGCCTGTTACTGAAGAAGTAAAAAGGCAGAGAGTTGCGGAGGTTTCTGTGGATTGTTCTGGATCTGAGAATTAAAATCAAACCACCTCAAAGAGTTTTTATGAAAGAGGAACCAAATCATTGCTCTCTTTTTCCATCGACAGTTGACTCATCCTTGTCACTGTCTTTCCCTTGTTTACTCAACTAGTGATCGTTTCTAAGCAACTACAGCCGCTAAACCCGACTCATCTCAACTTTAAACAACTCTGAACAATGTTGTCTTCTACTTTAATTGCAACTAAATCTCAGATATTCAGTATGTTGTCAGTCTCAATTAGACTACACAAGAAGCTGCAGACACACATAGACCTCTAACTCCGACATCAGGACAAACGCAACATTTGCCCAAAACAAGCAGCTCAATATTTTCACTACGACGCAGAACAGACATCATCATCTGTCTGCACCGGTCTCCAGGTCTGCTGTGCTCCTGTTTTTTATGCTGATCACATGCATACAGACAGAGTTATGATGTTTGGGTTGATTAAAGGTGATACTGAATGAATCAACAATGAGCCAGAGTTGAGCAGCCTGAGACGTCTTTAGCTCTTCAAAGATATCGCTATAAAAAAAAGAGCATGATGTGCCACATCTGGTCCGAACCAGTTTCAACAAGCATTTGACACAAGATGATATCCCCTCCTCTATTTCTCACTCTTACATCAGATTAAACTGTATTGACGCCCATTGCAGATACAAAGTGTAAACACGCTTGTTGATTGAGGTATTCATTAAAGTGTGGGTTTGTTTTTCCAGGATGTCGTCAGTATTTCTTTAAAGAGGCGTCACGTTTAAAGGCCTGATCAATGATAACATGTGCAGAAAATGATTATGAGAAGTCACAGGGAGGAGCGAACTGCTTGTAAATGTTTAATATTGATCTAGAGTGACTGTCCTAGTATCGTTAAGTGATACTGATCAGTGTTGTGTTTAGTAGTAAGTCCATCACGTTTAATTACGTGTTGTCGGGAAATATAAAAATACATAATTTCTCTCTTTTAATAATAAATGTTAAGTTGTTTTTTTTGCAGGTATGATTGGGGATGCAATTTGATGCCATGACACCTGTTTTATTGATCACCTGCTTGTTGTTCTATCTCTTTCTATGTTTCATTCATTTATTATTCTTATATGGTTTTTCTTTTGTTTGGAAGGAATGAAACTTGTAATCAAAATTTGAATGTTAAAGCAAAATATTGCAATACCCCCACTTTTAATACATAAAAGGAATGATATTAACCTTAAATATTACATAACAACACTTTTTAACAAAGAAGAGTGACTTTCATTTCTCAAGGCGACATTACTGTAAGTACTGTACGGTTGTAAAAGTGAATATTTTGGATTTTCTTTTCTGTTTTGTGTTTTTGCTCATTCACTGTAAAGCTGATGTTGCCATCCATGTTTGTTTTTGCTCCGTCAGCCTGAGCAATTCAGGGGATGTTGAAGTGTCCTGTGTGTTGGGCAACGTGGGGAGTCTCTTGTTATGAAAGGTGAAAATGTGGCCCTCCTTGCGGTGTGAAATACCCAGCGTCCGGCGGCAGCTCCTATATGCCCTGTCCGCACTGCACAGGATATTTCCATGGGCAATGCGGTGATACAATGAAATGTTCGTGGCAGAGCCTGGTGAGATATGAGGGTCTCTGTGCCCGAGTGATGGGCACCTGCCCCGGCTGCAATGCATTATTTAAAAACACTCATTCAATCCCGGCTACAGGGGACACCTTTTGTTACCCTGTCAGAAGCAGTAAGTGTAACTTGGCAGAGGTGGAGAATTTTTTCTTGGAGGCTTATGGAGCAAAGCCTGAGGAAGGCCAGGGGGGGGGGGGTCTACTGTACAGGAGAGCTGTGTCAGAGGGAAAGGAAAGGTCAGGGCCTCGACTTCTTCCACTGGATACTGTAAGGCTTAACTCCTTCCCTGTGAACCCTGCACCAGTTACACGTGTCACTCAGGAATAACAGATGAGATGCTTACAAGACAAACCCCCCCCCGCACGCGCAGTCGACTCAACATCTCACATTTCTTCATCGCACTCTCTGCTCCATCGACTTCCACGGAGGAAACGTAATAATAAAAGTATTCTGATGCAAATTAAATGATGAGAAGAAGGAGATCTGTCTGAGTGGGAGGAAGAATATTTGACCTGTGTTTTGACGGAGGACTAAATGTCAAGGCTTATGATATAAAGCTGCTTTGTGACTTTATATTAATAGAGACACAAAGCCAGACAGTGCATCTTCTCCCGATCCCTCTCTGAAGCTTAAAGATCATTTGCAACAGTTTTTCCAACAAAGAGCAACTGGTAGAACTTTACTGAACCATTTCCTTTTCTTGCAACTATTATGATGCTTGAACAAACACCCCTCTTCAGTGCTATTAAGATGCACTGAACTAACGCACCTCTTCAAAGACATCCGTTTTCAATGGAGCGGCACAACGATGACTTCTTTTTTAGGCTAACCCAGAAATGAGCATTGCAAGGGCTTCCCCAACAAAAAGCAATGGGATTTTTACATTGTATTTCAAAAATAATGCAGAGAGTAGGATCTTGTCACATGTTTATGATTCTTATTTGTTTTGTAAGGCAGGATAATCTCGAAATATTAACACCAATTGTGGGTTTTGAAGCGTAAGGGAGCTTTGGGATTGATGTCTTTGCAGACCATTTACGTGCACAAATCACACTACAGGAAGGAGAAACCCCCCAAAAACCCTAATATGGGACCTTTAAAGGTCACCTATTATGCAAAATCCACTTTTTCATGTCTTTTCTACATCAACATGTGTCCCCTCTGAGTAAAGAGATTCTGAAAGTTTCAAGAAAAAAGATTCTCTCTCTCTCTTTGTCCTGATCCATTTATATAAAAACCTGTCTGAAAATGAGCTGATCAGATTTTGGCCACTTTGTGATGTCATAACGATTTTTTGGCTTGTGTAACCATTAGCCAATCAGCAACCAAGGTAACCCCCCCCCACCTTATCACCTGAATCTCCTCCTAGAGCACCATTGTGTTCTTTTTAACCAAATCTCTCTCAGAGGGGCGTGGGGAGGGGCTCCTTATTTTCATCTAAAGTAACAGACAGAGAATCAGCACTTTGGAAACAGGGCTGAAACAGAGGGGATTATGGGATGCTGCAATGATTTTGGTGTTTGGAGCCAAACACTTCAGAGACATGTTTTGTAAATATCTGAGACCTGGAATATATTGATGAAAAACAGTATAATAGGGGACCTTTAATTCATGCATCTCACTGAGAACACACTCAAGGAAGAGTCGAGACGAGGGAACCAGATGGGATAAAATGCTAACTAATTTCCGGGTTTTAGGACTAATTCCTGCATCACTCCAAGAACTGATCTGGGGGTCGGGTTTTGTGTTTTAAATATTTTTCTTACTCTAAATGAGTGTTGACGTTAATAAATGAATAATAAACAGCACTCCTGTTTCTGTCTTCCTTGAAGGTATCTTGCTAAACCAAAGCCTTGTGTGGCCTATAGTGCGCTGCTCCATGTCCACATATCAGTGAGATCTCTCCCACTGCCTCGTCCCCAGGAAACACACCTGACATTTAGCCCCAGGCCGCCCCATCCAGCCTTCCCTTTCCTCCGCTCGCCTCCAGAGACAAGGGCATCTCGGCTGAGTTTAGCCAGCTAAAGCACAGACAGTTAGCAAATTAACTTTCATGTCTTCTTTTTAATAATTCAGCAGAGAGCGCAGGGGCTGGGTGAAGTAAGGTATGAATGGAGGAAGTGAGGG